TCCCCTCATTCCCCAAGGTCCAGACATTTATTGTGAAACAGAATGAGAAGTTTTTGAGGAGGTACAGTTTTGTCTGGTACCACCTAACATTTCTGACTTCACTGGAAAAGCTTGTGCAAGGTCAGGTTATCTTAAGATGTGATGACACTTAAACTGGACTTTAAGGGAAGGAGAGCAAAAGAATAGTCTGCAGATTATGGTCTTCTGTCTGCACTTCTGAGAATGAAAAAGTGAAATTTAACAGATCTCTTTGACTAACAGGAAGTTCTCACCAGGACTGTGGTGTGCTTGCTTTTCTCTCCCAGTCCAAATTCTAAGGTTTCTCATTCATTTGCTCAGGCGATGACATTGATTCATTGACACCCTTGTGATTTTGTTGATACTTTTGAGAAATTGTCAAACAGTGAAGAAAGTGGACATTAGGGCTACCCGTATGTAAAACTGTCAATAGTCTTTGGTACAGTAAGTTGTATGAATTTGGAACATTAGAAGCATGTGACTTATGCAAGAGAACTGTTGAATCTCAGTGGCATGCTCAGAATGACTAGGTGATGTTGTTGGGTTTTTTGTTTTCTTAGAGAATACTTTATTAAATAGCATTTTTAATGTACAATAATATTTTTTTTTCTTTTGCTGAAGGGACAATGGAGACCGATCCAGGCATCGAGCTCCCCGGAATGCCCGCATGTCTGCACCATCGCTGGGGCGCTTCGTCCCAAGGTAAGGTTTGTACATGTAAATACATGTGAAAGGATGTGGAAATCCTGGAGGTATCAGTTGGAGTACAGCTCTCTGATGCTTTCAGATGGATTTCTTTTCTTGCAAAGGGCTGTTGTATTCTTGGTTTGCAATTTCTGGGACCGCTGAGATGACATGTAAGTATGATCAGCGCATCCAGTGAAATTTGAAGGACGGCATGGTCCTAGAGCTTTTTACCTGCAAGTTGGAGCTACAGTGTAAAGACAGAAGAGGAGGAGAAAATCTGATCAGAGATTCTCAGCACAACGTGCTGGTTTGAGATTAGGAAGCTATTGTGGGAGTTAAAGGATTTCCTTAATGCTGATCTTCACAGCCACATTGATCAGAGGAGGATCTAATCTGTAACTTGCCTTTTGTTTGAAGCAGTGAACTGGTTGGCTAAGCAGAGGAGTCCAGCCTTCCCTCTACTATAGTCTGCTGGAATATAGTCATATTTCCTCAAAGTAGTTGCAGTTGCTGTCCAGGGCTGTAGTACACTGGGATGTCTTTCTCAATGTAAGCTTACTCTCTTTGTTTTGCAGACGCTTCTTGCTGCCAGAATACTTGCCTTATGCTGGGATTTTCCATGAACGGGGACAGCCTGGCTTGGCCACTCATTCCTCTGTCAACAGAGTTTTAGCAGGTAATGAGATTTCCTTGTTTGCAGTTGTTGTGTATATCAGTGGTATTTTTCTCGTGAATCTGAGCAGAGGAGGATTGATGAGGAAAAGTCTAATTCCAACTTCTGAGGGTATATTTAAGTTGCCTGTAACAAGAGAAAGGACTGTTGAAGTGATGTGGTGAGCTGTCATTCAAGTGCTTGGGCATTGCAGATTCCACACTTCAAGTATGTGTATGGGAGTCTCGGCATGAATTGGGGATGGGCGCTGTTAACACTTCACCCTTTGTTTAACTTCCTCCCCTATTCCTAGGTGTCTTTTTCTTAACAACCTGACAGACTAATGATCAGCTTGGTGCAGGTCCTTCTAATTGAATTATAGGGTGCCTTGTTCGTGTTCCGGCTGGCAAGACGCACACAAGGCAACACGGGATTCAATTAGGATCTTAATAAGTGCATATTAAACTCAGCTGCCACCACATACAGCACACAGGCATTTGAGAGCCTTAAAGGCCAGGCGGAGGTGGAAAGGCAGGTGAGGGGAAGAGGAGGAGTATGGCACTCTGGCAGTTCATGAATGAGGTGGTTATAGATGACATGTATCTTGAGGGTGGATCTTTTTTGGCTGAGTCTGAGTTGCTCCTTAATTAACCTCAGTGCAGGGCAGTCATCTTGGCGCTTGGGGGAGAACGAGGGTTGGTGTATGGACAGGTAGCTTGGGATGTGGTTCTGTTCCCTTCCTATTGGTAATCACAGGACCACCACTGAAAGGAGTGCTGAAAGGTTTCTCAAGAGGCTGCATGACCCTTTTCCTTATCCTAAGGCATGATCAGCTATGCCTGAACCATTTTGGACAGGATTTATCTAACCTGTTCTTAAGAGTCTTCATTGGAGTTTTCCGAGTCATTTGGGGGGGGAACTGTTGTTGGTCTTGAATGGCTGATTTAGTATGGCAGTGGTCTTGTCTTTGATAACAGATTTCTGGCATCTCTAGAACTTCTGTCTCCCTGGGCGTTTTGGTTTGAGTGCATGGTTCATAGACCTTGGTGTTGCAGTAATAGTAAGAGCTCAGCCAAAGGCTAGCCTCCAAAGCACCTCTGCTTTTTTTCCTTAGGAAAGAGAGGAGCTAGCCTGTAGCTTAAGCTATAGCACATACTTTACTGTGCTTGCTGCCTGTGTGGGCTTTGGCTGTTGGCACGTGGAAACAGCACGCTGGCATATAATTCCTTGCTGCCATGCAACACTGCAGAACTCTTGTGTGGCCTCGCTTTGCTGGGGACACCTGCCTTCAACACTCCTCCAGCCCTCTTCACAGTTTGCCTGTTCCTTAGTCACTGGGAAACAGCCTTACTTTTTCTCCTTGCACGTTTTAGGGAATTTTAGTCTCAAAATACACGTGCTGGCTGTTTGTTGTGTGTATGCCAAGATTAACAAAAGAAGGCAGAAATTGTAATCATAGGACTTTCAAAAAACGAGATCAATCTTTTCTGTATGGCACTGTGCTGAGCCTAGTTAAGACAAGGTTTCTTGGCTCCTACGTTGTTGTGGAACCTCACACTGGAATAGCTGAAACTCCACAGTAAAGGCTTTTATTGAATGAAATGTAAAATGAATTCTCCTAATGAAGCAGCTGCTTGTGATACATTGTTTTAATATTCTGTTTATTTTAGTCTGTACCTATGCTTTCAACTTTCAAAATGTTTTTTACATTTGTGCTCAAAAACATGTTAGTGTTGCAGAAACCAAGAGAGTTGAAGTTGTAAATATTAGGTGGAGGCATGAAAGATGAGAACCAGAAAATGAGGTTGCAATTGTGGAAGTCAGAGAATTTCTTGTGTTCGTTATGTTGATCAGCAGCATTGCCATTTTCAGTATTGCGTTTCAGAGCCATTGAAACTTGCGGTGGTGATAGTATGCTTTCCTTTTTAATCAGCCTGTGCCAAAGCTTGTGGTATGCCAAAGCTTGTGGTAGTTCTTTCTTTACTCTCATAGTGAAAAACTTCTACTCAAGCTCGAAAGTACTTTAACCCTGGTCTGGTAGTTATGGGTGAAGTTGCCAGCCTTGACTGAGGGAAAAATCAGTCATGTATCTTTCTATTAACACAGGCTAATCTGAGTCTGAGTGCTTTAAATTGCTTCATCCTACCATATATCCAGACTGTCATTTCTGAATTATGTTTAAAAGCATAAATGCCAAATGTCTTTCTTATGTAACCTCTACAGCGTTTGAGAAAAGATGCCGAAAAGGACACGTATTCCTAACCTGGCGGCTTTCTAAAAACTGACAATAGATTTCTGTGGTCAGGTGTAAGGAAGAGCTGTTGTTCAGGAAAATACACCTAATGACACTTCTGCTCCTGTCCCCTGCCCCACTTACTGCTGTATGTGGAGAGGAAATCAAACCTTATGGATGTGTGAATTGCTTTGGTGCACTGGCTAAATTTCTTCATGTCAAAGCACTTGCTGTCAGATTCTGCACGTGTTTTACTTTCAACTCTCTGCTTTGTATGAACAGCTTTCTGTTGTTTAAGTATTGTTCTCACGCAACCGTTATAGACAATAGCTACATGCTAGGGAGGACTGCCTTGTGAATAAATTCTTAGAGCAGTCTGGTTTAATGAACCACTTAACATAAACCACTGGTTTAATGACAGGTTATCTAAGCAGACGGGCTAGGACAGCAGCACAGTAGGTTTGGCAGAACGGCTTTGACATGCCAGGCAGGGCTTAGGTCAGGATTAGAGAGTCTTTTGTACTAGTCAGAGACTAGTGGCCATCCCTGTACCAAGGCACTTCCAGGCGAAGTGTAAGAAAGGTGGCAACAGATGGGTGGAGTAGGTGTGAGTTTAGGGCGAGAACGAAGCGATACTAGTTGCTGTGACAGACAGAGATATCTCCATGCCAGCAGCCTAATTTGCATGTAGCGCTGGAACAACAGCAAGCCCCAGTAGCACCTTCCTGCCTACCTACTGGTGCAGTTTAGACCTATCAGCTGATACGATACAAAGCATCACTGCGCGTTCTGGCACCAAGTAAAACACCATGTGAAAACATATTACATCAACATTGTTACCTTTAGCATTCAAGCTTGTAATCACACCAAAAAGTGTTGGTAGTTTGACAAGTTATATTTTCCTGTAAAGTCTATGTTGATTGGCAGTAATTACACTGTCCTCCTTTAATCCTTTATTAACTGAGTCTTATATCAGCTTTTTCATTATTTTGTCTGGAATCAATGTCAGGCTGACAAGAGTGACATGTCTCATCGTATTTCAACCCTTTAAAAAACTGGTATAACACTAGCATATTTTTCAGTCTTCCACATTCTCCATTTATTTCAAGACTCGTTGAGAAACCTGAGAATTCATTTGGCAACTCTTCTAAGGCTTTTGGTAGTGTGGGCTGTAAGCTGCCCTCTGGACTCTCCTCTCCTTGGTGAACTGCCGTAAGTGATGGGGTTGTGGTCTCCAAGGAAACGTCCATACAGTCAAAGCTAGATTAAATGGTTGTGTGCTAAAGTGATGAAAGCAGTAGATATGTTTTTGACTTCTCACTTGATAGGACTGGCCAATTGCAAGTGGCAGTACAAGTGGAGTAAGACATCTTGGGGCTATTTCAGCCTTCTAGTCTTGTGGGTTCTCAGCCATTTGCAGACCAAAACAGTGGGAGTTGTTTTTCTTCTTTTTTTTTCTTCTTTTTTTTTTTTTCTCCTCCCTCTGAGCTTTCCCAGGAGATACCAAAAAGATGTTCTGTGGGATGAGGTTACACCCTTTGTAGTGGGAGTTAGTACTGCTGCAAAGTTCAGCAGTGTTAACATGCCTGGCTCTGGATCCAAGGCACACACAGCTCAGTATTGTGTTTACCACCTTCTCCTGCTTTCTTTTGTTTTTCTTTAAGCTGAATATTTCTGTCCATTGTTTGGTTTGTGGGTTTTTTTTAGTTTATTGGTTTGTTTGGTTTGTGTTTGTTTGTTTTGTTGTGGGTTTTTTTGTGGTTTGTTTGTTTCTTTTTTTGTTGTAGTGGTGGGTTTGTTTGTTTGTTTGGTGTGTGTTTGTGGGGTTTTTTTTTGTTTGTTTGGGTTTTTTTAATAAATTTATCTTTGTCCTAAGTCACATTGTGAGCAGGACACTTAAGTAATTTGGGGGCAATATCATGGATGTTTTTTCATATCTGATAGCTGACAGATGGACATTTTAATATCTTTTTAAAAATTAGTAAATTCATTTAAAAAAGGATCCACTTCATTGTCACTGAAATGCTTATGACCCCTTGTTCACCTATGTGAACTCTACCTTTAGGCTTTATAGTAATTGACTACTTTGGGATAGACAGAGACATGCTGATGGTATAGCGGAACAAGGAAGGCTTTAGTTTCAGTTCAGTGGAAGCTGGGAGGAAGAAGAAACTCAGTGTTTGCCAAGGAACTTTGCAAGAGGCTTTAAAAATTGACACAGATGCCAGTTTGTTGACATTTCTGTTACTCAGCAGGAGACCTGCAGATGGAAGTTTACTGGTTTATGAGAGAGTTACCTAGCTTTGCGAAATGCTTCTGTCTCACCTCACTTTGTTTTAATAGGCATCTATTCAGTTATGTGCATCTCAACAAACAACATATTTTTCCTTCCATGAACACAGATCGTGTTTGTCTGTTCTGGCTTGCTAACAGACTTTATTCAAATAACAATCCAACAAAGTTGCTCCGAGTCCGCCATCTTATGGGGAGATCCAGACTCAGCGTGGCTTAAGCACTGAGTGATACAACACTCTACAGTTTTTGAGTGATTTCATTGCTATTTCAGTGTAATAGATTTGACCAGAGACTGAATGCTTACATGTATTCAAAGAATGAGCTCGATAGTACAGATTTTTCAATATCCCACGCCTATTCAGAGTGTGACCTACTACAAGAGTAGTGAAGATGCAGTTTTGGATATCTCTGCTGGGGTTGCCAAACAAAGCTGTCTGTTTCTTTGTTACACTGGGGTAGGGCTGAGCTATAGGTGAAGCTAAGAATCAGTTGATAG